ATAAATGATTTGATTTTTAATATAATAAATATCGAAATGTTGATGTTTCAGAGGGGAATATCGGCTTGCGACACCATTACTTTGTCAAAATTGACCATCAACATGTATGTATGACCAAAAACCGAAAATATTGTTGTGTTTGTTGAATCCTACATGATCCTTTGTCTCCACATTTCCACACATAATACCGGATCTAGCATAGACCTTTTATATTGTAAATAGGTGATTTTCCGAACAATTGCGAGATCTCGCGAAATGCATGAAAGATGCGCGTCGAACGTCTGCCGCAAAAATCGAACAATTTGATTTTGAACGAGAATTTCTTTATTTCGTAGCTTACATTGACCGGCCGATCTTCGACAGAGGAATATTGCTTCCGAATACCCTCACTTAATCGAAATTGCCTATCATCAAATGTGGACAGCACATTATTAAGCATGGAAATGTCCTGGAAATACTTTCGCGTTTGTCGAATCCCACGCGATGTTTGACGCCACTACGACGCTATGACCTTTTTTTGTCCTGTTTTTACGTTTGATTTCACGCATAACGCATGATTCTCGCAGTGAACGGAAAATGGTCTATTGAAGTACGTTTACACATTTCTGATTGAAGCCATAGAGTTTTATAGAGTAGTGACTATTTTGCTAAACTATGGGAGTCAAAAATCACCATTAAATTTTATGAAACCATCACATTGACCTAAAAATCACACAGCTATAAAAAAAAACTTGAAGACTAAATTAGCGCCTGTCCTCAGAAAAGCCAAGATATATTTCACATATTTACACATATCCCATGGGTATGTATATTGTTCCCATGTATCCAATTAAATAGTGTAATAAATGCGTGCATGGTAAATCATATACCGTATCCTCATTTGTTTTTTTGTGTGTCCCTTTGTGAAGTAAATGTAACTTATGTTGACGTAAGAGAAAAATAAATGTGAACACATTAAGTCAGTGTAAAATGGTTTAAAAAACAACAGATATTAAAAACTCTCTTTAATAGTTATGTTAGCATAAAAACAGTTGAAAACATGTTACATCAGGGCTTAAAATACAAGGGGGCAACTCTAGTGACTATTCACAAAGGATATTGTAAGTGTATTGGCGTCCTAAAATGAATTTTAGTGCTACAGGCAACTGTATTTAAGTACTGTAAAATACTTTATTTTAGCTGGGATTAATTTTCGCTGGAAAAAAACGTTTTTTTGGTGTTTTGTATGGAATTTATTTTCACTGATTTTTGAGTAGTTGAATGTAAAATATAGGAAAAAAGCTATAATCGCTGGATTTTATTTCACCGAATCATTTCTTCAGTGAAAATAGTTGAAATTAATTACAAGCAAAAATAAAGTATTTCACAATAAATCTAATTTCATATGTATTATACATTCTAAGTACCGGTAGGAATATCAACTGGAAAGCTCGTCACAGTTTACATTTGAATATTGAGTAGCAAACAAACAATATATTACACTCGTGTTACGTGGGATCCAATATATCACAAACAGAAGGACTACAGTACTTGAATCCACTTATACTGGCGCTACACAAATAATTTATCATTATTGAAACCATTATTATCCCATTGCTGATATATCAGAGCTGCTAAGCAAAAACAGAGGACGGATTTTTCTTCACGGTACAGCACCTTACAGACAAATCACATGACCACAAGACATTATTCTTAATATAAGACATATGAGTGTTCAAACCATGGTACTGATGAGACTCCCTGAGCTAATTTCAGAATGATTTGTTCTATAAACAAGAGATAAAACGAGTTCCATGCATTTTTATCAAGACAAGATGAAATGTTCATTTTCATAGAACTGGGATAACAGTGATCTCCTATAATCATTAGAATGCCATTATCTGTTCCACCAAAATGTTGATGTAACAGTTTGCTTCTGACCAATCACAGCCTTTTTTAAGTCAAGTCCAACATCAATGCATGTCAAAAGATACATTTCATTCATCCAACTACTGTAAAAACTTTATTTTCGCTTGGAATTATTTTTTGTTATTTTCGCTGAAGGAATGATTCAGTGGAAATGAAATCCAGCGTATAAACTGGTAACTTTTTTCCTATATTTTACATTCAACTCGTCAAAAACCAGTTAAAATAAAATCCATACAAAACACCCAAAAAAAAGGTTTTCAGCCAAAATTAATTCAAGCTAAAATAAAGTATTTCACAGTACTAGAAATGGAGTACATACATTTCTAGTATTAGTATGTTAATAAAATTTGTCTTAATGTTTACGACTAAAAATTGTTTAAAATTATATAACGATATTCAAGTTTATTGTTGAGAAAGAAAGCAATAGTCATTATATTGTAAACAAATTTTCTTTTAATTCTGATAAATATTCCAATATTATGATGTCCATGCTCAGCCTCAAAAGCTATATAATCATGAATTTATACCAGCTAAACTATTCTGTCCAAACAAATATGAAACGTTAGCCATACATTTATCAATTTGAAAAAAAAATGTATTAAATGCCAGTTTTATTAATAAACGATGACAGATGGGCAAACTAATAAATGAGAAATTGACTTTTGAACTCTTTGATTTCATACCGTAATTACAAACAATTTTTGCTGAAATTAAAAATAAAATATTTTTAGATTTTATACAAAAGAAGACTGAAGACTGAATAAATTCTAATTTTCTAATTAATTAATTAATTAATTAATTAATTAATTAATAAATAAATAAATATTATTCAACTGAAAACATTTCCCACATACATGCAACGTCTCCATTATATTTTTAAATATTTATGTAAACATCTGAAGTTTTCAAATTTTTGGAAAAGATTTTAGTTAAATGAAAAGTCTAATTATACATTTTCAATTAATGAGGAATACATTTTCTAAAAGACACTGACTACTTTTCTACGAAACAAAAGTTTCTAATTTCCTATTTTACTTTGCTCCCCAAGATTCACAAAATGTGTCCACTGCCAAATTAAAATAGTTTACAGTATAAAACAGTGATGATAAAATGATTAACAGGAAGTAGAAAGATGTATGCTGGGATATATTGTCTATTTGTGGGATCTCATTTCCTGTTTTCTATTCCTTATTTAAATTGATAATCAATAAGACAGCTTCTCCTTTTTTATCCCATATAATGCCATAATTTTACTAAAAATTTGAATATTTTTATGAATTTTTTTCTATAATTTATTTGCTAATTTGGGATCAAATACGGACATAAAATTCCCCAATGACTACTGGTTCTGATGACAATTTATGAAAAATTATGGGATATAAACAGTTTTTAAAAGTGACTGTTGTGCAAAGAGTTTATATCAGAAAAGCAAAAGTAATTTCAATTTAACATCTATGGATAGTTAGGAATTGGTGATATCTAATTTATAAAAAAGCTCCAGCAGGCGGTGTATTAATTAGGATTGAAGGAAATACAGCAAACAAAATTGCTGGAAACAATTACACTCATGTAAATTAAATACTGGGACACCAGACGTGAATAATATTAATAAAAGCTTATATACATATATTAAAAATATTTTGAAGCAATTTTTTCTTATTGAGTACTTTGATTAAAAAATTTAATTTATTTCATTAAAATTAGACAATAAATTTGATTTCTGTTTCTTGTGGTACGTTATGATGACATGTGAAAGTCCACAAGCTCTTGCATAATATTTCAATACACAACACTGCATTTATGAATAAATTGAACTGTCTGGGTATGTGTCACATGTTTTTTTTACACAACACAGTAATATCCTCCCAATTCAATGTATAAAATACCATCATAAAATGAAACATCCAGGGTTGCATTAATAATGCTAAAACAACGATTAAAACAACTATTATTAGTAACATGGTTTTTCCCTTTCTATTCACTACCTCAGCTGTTACCACTTGGAAGGCCACACATGCCGGAAGTATAAATGGCATTTTATTAGCAAGAATAAAAAAAGTTGTTGTGCATCAATTATCAAACTTCTGCAGTAACGACTGTTGCTGATTCAGTAAGTACAAGTTGGACAACATTCCAAACCTGCAAGGATTTGTTTTCCCCCAAATTTTGTAGAAAGTTTTTCTAGTTTTAATTTTGAACCAAACGGACTTAAAGTAGTTTGCTAAAACATAGACAAAATTGATCAGAGTAAATCATTTAACCATTTTTGTCTGATAATTTGCATACATGCAAGTCAAAGTTTTTATAGAGAAAGAAGGATGTGTTTTGGGGAAAAGCGGCCATTTTGAAACCTTTGGAAGGATTCCATGTAAACAAATTATTCCATGGATAACTAATATTCAAAATTCTCCAATTTTTCATGACAGCCATATGTAGCATGTATCACTACATATCATTTTTTTTAGCAAAGGTCACCAAACAAAATTTTGAGAAATGATGTTTCTGCCATAGGAACCAAACTCAAAACATGCATTTTGATTAGTTCTTAAGGTCATTTTGTGGAAAACTTAGTTTGATGACAATATGTTTTTATTTAAGAATTTTGAACATTACAGTAATCCAACCCTTTTGCTCGATTTGCATGTATGTACCTTAACATGATATTTTCTCATATAGATTTTTACCAAATCAGCAGATTTTGAACAGAAATATAGTGAAATAGCCCAAAAGTTAACAATGGAAGTGAACACACTCATTAAAATTCAAATCATGATTTCAATAGAGACAAGCCATTTCACGGAAACCGAAACAGACAACTATTGAAATAGATTTTCTATACTGTAAAATGACTAATTTTCACTGGGTTTAAATTTCACTGATTTGCCATTTCAGGCATCTTCAGTGGGTTTTAAATTCACTGTTTTATCATTTAGATAATGTGTTCTATGCTAAACTTTACATATTCACTGGGTTTTAATTTAGCGCATTTTTCTAGTCAGCGAAATAAGCCAAATTAAAACCCAGTGAATAATTAACCCCTTTACAGTATTTGATCAAAATCCGAAAATTACCATGATATATATTGAACTTACCTGTTGCTGAATATTAAATGCACAAATATTGCCATGAATTCTTTGCATTGGACAGACAACTCGTCTTGGTGGCTTTCTGTGCTAAACGTTGAATTCCACGAACTGTCAGAACACTCGGACAACGAGCCATTTTCTCCTAGAGGCATTGAATCTGCCTCTGTGCTTTCGTCTATAAAATCAAACACCCGGCACGCTGAATTCACAGAGTATACAGTCAAACTGTCATGTTCGTTTGAGAAATCTTGCTTAATTATAGCACATACTGGGTCAGTTCCACAGGGTTGGCAAGCAGAAACATTAACAGCCATGTCCATGGTGCCATTACAAAGATGTATGGCTTTTTCAGTTGCCAACATGTCTCCCCCTTCACAGTCTGAATTCAAATCGTCTGAATGCATGAAGACATCATCATCAACTTCATTGAGTTCCTCAGAGTCGGAATTACCATTTGTAACTAATTTTGTCAAACTTGTATCCAGCGTTCCGTTACACAAGCACCCGCTATCCCCACTGTTTCTGTCACGTGGGTATTTCCAATTAAGTTCCTCATTTTCACTCTCTGATCCGTCATTGTTGAGCGGGGATTTCCCATTTTCCCGCTCACTTCCTGGAATAACATCATCATGCTTTACTTTGGCTCCCTTCGACTCGTCATCAACATTACACTCAGCCATGCTGAACTCGTCAAATTACAATGCTATGATGACCATAGCGCGTAACTCACAGCTACCTTGAAATCTGTGAATTTTGGGGAAAAAGTAATTATTATATGCAATCTGAATTCAGAAAAAAATCATCATAGAGCTATTCATAGAACAGGGAAAGTGAGAGTTATTGTATCGTCCGATTCGCACAGTTTCGTTGAAGCCGACCACATTTGAACGTCCATACATGAAGCTCCACGGTCCATACGAACGTACTATAATAGTGAAGACGCGGCCAAATAAACAAAACTTGGATGTCGAAGGTGAAATTATTGTAGTCAGCTGGTTAAAACGAAAACTATAGAATTCATTCATATTTCAATATGTTCTTCAATGCAGGAAAAGTATTAAAAAAAATATTATCAGCTGTATTAATTATATCAGTAGCCTGACGATATACATTATTTAAATATGTCAGTTGTTTACCCATGGCGCACACCAACACAATGAAGAACGACCTCACCAATGCTACTGATCTCAAGTCTAAGAATAGATTTTCATCAACATGTTTATTTCACTTTCTATCAGTACCTCTATTTACATGTAAATATCGAACTGCAGCTGTAATAGGCAGCCTTGTCCTTGCACGGTCCGTCGGTAACAGTGCAACACAAAACATTTTGCGTCAACTCAGCTGATGACAAAACCGATCATTCAAAAAAAAATATAGTAAGCTATATATGTCGTAAACAATGCGTAATGCAGTGGAGATCAGAACTTTAGGATGAACAACATTCATGATAAGCGAGCCCTTGGATGCAAGCACTGAATTAAGGTGCGAATTTTACAAAGACAACTGAATGAATGATTTAAAAAATAACATAACGCGCGAGCTCCAATCCCCAAATAAAGAAAAAAAACATACGCCAGTCAAAAACCAATACACCATGTGCCAGACGAAAGACATACGACATCGATCATCGCAAGTTTTATCTGTGAAATGTATATTATCAAATGTCATATTCTTACCACAATCGCATAGCTAGCTTCCGTCGAGCCGAGTTATCGCATGACCCAGCTTCTCACATTTCCCATCAGTCATTGGTTATGGGTCAGAGGTTAAAGTTTAAAGTATAATATCAGCACGCGTACTTATATTCGACACGCAAGTTTTACCGAGAGCTGGCGTATTTTCGCTGCAGCTGATCGACTGACGGTTTGTTTTTGTAGACATCTTTATTTATGTTTATCAGCCTAAAACACCTCACTAATCTGACTGTGTTAACTACATTTACATTTGTATTCTGTGAGTATCTGATATATTATTCCATCTTTTTGAAATGCTCCTGGCCAAAGTTAGAAAAAACTTCAACACCGGATGATCAACAGTTGAAAGCTCTCTTTTTTTCCGATCCACACTTACTGGGATCCAGAGAGGGGAATTGGTTTGACAAGTTGCGAAGGTATGTAGCAGACTGTAACTGAATTGATATTACTGTCCCAATTGCGAGGGACACTAGTATAATCAGATATAACAAGTGTGTAATTTACGAAGAAATACAGTACTCTCAGCGCAACAAAGGTATTCTCTTAATTTCTATAAATACATGTATTTATAAATTTCAATGGCAGTTGAATCAAACCAGCCAATCAGAGAGCTCAGTGTGCAACGTATTCGCCAAGCCTCTACTGATTTCTGCTGTTGGTGGCGTAGTTGAGGGTCCAGAGTCAGTCTATGCCACATGCAACATTTTACATCTAACACCCAAAAAATATGATAAATAGAAACCTCTTGATTCAATTTGAATTGTGAAATTTTTATAAAGAAAATGCATTTGTTGCGCTGAGAATACTGGTACCGGGTTCTACATGTATGAACAAATCGGTTTAACATTTTCTAAAGTTCAGTGGCACAATTGGACCACATTGACACTGCAGGTCGGCATCTTCTTTACACCGATCTGAAGCATATCGCACCCGGATTTTGTTCAAAACTTTGAACGTTTTTGCCAGATGAAACAAAGGACTTTTATCCAGATTAAACATGTTGAATAGCTGCAGCAAACACATTTTTGCACGATATTTTCTGGTCCTGTGAGAGTACAAAAAATGTATAAATCTACTACCGGTACCTGGTACATCTAATTGTTAGCATTGCAATCTGATTCACCCTAAAAATACTAGTAATAATGGTGACATAATCCTACAATCACAGGGACAGTTCCACTGTTGACCAACTACAATATAATTGAATTTGGTTAAAATCTGATGTTGGTCATAATATACCCCAATTTTTTTATTTAACAATAAAACTGTATTCTATACTGATTGAAGGGAGGGGCAAGGGGGGTAGCTGGTACAGTTTTACAGGAAATAAAATAGGATTTCTACAATTTACAAGAAAAAAAAGACGTTTTTACAGTTTACAGAGAAAATAAAGGTTATTTTACATTTTATGGCAAATTAAAAAAGAAAACCTAGAAAATTCTTGTACGTACCAAAAAAATGACACATTTTTACAGTGTACGAAAACATTTTTTGATTGATTACGTTGTACGTCTAGCCTGTGATTACAGAATTACCGAATTTATTTTTTCAATTTACTTTGTACGAACAAAAAATATTGCAATTACGTTGAACGAAAATAACCCTTGCCCCCCTCTATACTTACATAAGATTTTAGTCAGATTGAATTCCATTATAAATTTAGATATTTTTCATTCCAGAGAATGGCAGATGGAGAGATCATTCCAGACAGCTAATACTATATTTCAACCAGAGGCAATCTTTGTACTTGGTGATTTGTTAGATGAAGGGAAATGGGCTTCAGATCAGGTACGTGTATATTCAAACTACTTGTCTTAATTCTCTCTTGTTTTTTTTTTCAACATATTTGAACAAAATTGCCGGAATTAATGCATTTCTCCAGTAAAACATATATGTCAACAGATTGGTTGGTATACAAAACATAAATATTAATATAAGTTTCTTTAATTGACTATGCTATAATGATGATTCTCATCAACACCTCTGACGGTAGATGGGTACATCTGTCTGTGATCAGCAGTCTCTTTACGAGATATGTATAAATGCACATTACTTGTCAATGACATTTTCATTTGGCTAAAAATAGTTTGGTCCTAATACATGAGTGTTCTGCAACCATTTCTCAGAGATGCCATGGCCAATTTATTTCAACCTTTACATATGATGACATAATACATTAAATCGTGTACTAGTAGTAGCAAATAGACTTTTTCACCTGCATTTCTTTTCAGTCAATTATACTGACATTTTTAGTACTGTTACTTTTGAGATATATTCAATTTAGATATATTTGCAATTAAAAAAATATGTTTCCATGGTAACAGGGATTTTTGTATTATTTTGTGCATGTATGTCTCTCTCTGATGGCCATTTTGATTTGCTGAATTTTGGCACCTTAACCGAATTACTGTGGAATACTTTATTTTCGCTGAAAAGGCTTTTTGGGTGTTTTGCTTGGAAATTATTTTCACTAATTTTTTATGAGATTAATGTGAAATATAGGAAAAAAAGTATATTCACTGGATTTTATTTTCACAGAATCATCCCTTCAGCGAAAATAGCGAAAATAAATTCCAAGCGAAAATATAGTATTCTACAGCACTTTTTCCTAGTCATGGGAAATTGCGTAGCATAATAATTGAATTGTTTCTCTATTAATTATTCATACATATTTGATTTTGTAACCAAGGTTACATCTTTGTAAAGGCTATGAAGTGTTGATAATTGTAATTGTTATTTACCGGTGTATGTCATTGTATTCAATTGCTAGGAATTTCATGATTCGGTTGGGCGATTCAAGTGGATGTTTAGACATTCGGAAGATGCACAGCTGCATGTTGTCGTTGGTAACCATGACATTGGGTTTCATTATGGGTAAGATGACATCATTCAGCTACTGTTAATTAGTGACAATCTTAGATTTACAGATCTGGAATAAATTATTATTGTGTATCCCAATCAAAACCCTCACAGAGTAGAGGTTGTAGGTATTGGCTATCAATACAAAAGTAATGGCCAACTTCTTCGATAGTTGAGAAAGAACTATCAGTTACTTCTAAAATTCCAAACCTTGACACTGAGCCAAGCTCTAATTTCAGAAAAGTTTGACTCTAATAAGTGTATGAATTGCTAATCTACATGTGCACAAACCGAAACTGTAGCTGTAACTAATCTGCATATGAAAAAAAACTGTGGCGATTACAAAATCTACAGGAGTTAACACAACATAGATCACATGAACAAAAGTGGTATAAATTATAATAGCAGTTGATGGTTCTTGTCAGTGTGCGTCTTTTTCGATTTTTTTTCTGCCCAAACAGAAATAACAAATCTAAAGACCAGACACAATCTTTTTTTGAACTAAGGTTTAATATTTTCAGTAGCTTAGAATTCATTCTGATTAAAATGAGATTCTAGTTAGGTTTTTTTTTCCAAAATACAATTTAGTTTATGTTTTTTTTTAATATATTTCCTTTTATTCATTCAAATTTATTTGCTGTTTTTTTTTTCCAGTTTTGGTAATTGTGAAAACATCTTTTTTTAATGGGATGACTTAGAATTATAACTCGTAATGTTTCACGACCAGTGTTTATGTAAAAAATATGTGGCAGCCAAGTTTTGGATAGCAAAACATTTCACCAAATCAAAATGTACAGAAATAGAAAATGTGAATGTCGGTGAAGACATTTACTGTGATTGTAATCAAAGTAAACATAATATTTAGATTGTTATTTTTTATTATTTTTCAGGATAAATAGTCATTTGTTGGACAGATTTGAGAAAGCATTTGATGTGCCATCTGTCAAAGTTGTGACCATTAAAAACATAAGGTAATGCGATGAATTTTTACAGGGAAAGGTATATGAAGCAAAAATTATGTTGTTGTTTTTGGAGTTTCATAATATGAGTATGCACGAAGACAGTACAGCAGGAGTTTTGAAAAAGGTTTAGAACAGAATCAGCAGATTCTTTGTATGGAGTCCGGTCAAAACCTGGTGGCAGCCATGTTTGTTTTTATTATTAGAGGACGCTTACGTGCTTAATCATTCCATTATTTGGAATTTGCATTTTCTTATATGGTAGGATGAAAATACCCTGTATACCGAAAATACCGCAAAATTACAGCACGCTGTAACTTGTGGCGTTACAGTGACAGATGTATATTAATATTTGTTATTCAGTCTTTTTCATCCACTTAAAACCTGGAATCCAACCATTTTGGGTACCATTTCTAGAATGGCCTGGTACAGCCTGTACAGTAACTATGTAGTCGACTCAGATTTCTGTGTCATCACTGATTGGCTGTCTTATCATGAGAACATGCATGCATGCACGGTCTGACCCATAGGTAATGCTCGTCAACAACCCTTCAGACCAATTCACTAATCTATCACTCACAGATTTGTCAAAGCCTCACGATCATAGACAACATCTAGCTCACCATCATATGTTATCAAACAGTGTAGAATCTTGATTTCACATAAATTGTTCACAATAAAGTAAAAATGTAGCTTTACCAGGGTAATATTTTTGTCAGTTCTTGCGAGTTCATTAACTCAAACATTTGTTATCTTAATATTTTTTAACTTGTTTGACTAGCATGTATATTTTTCATAATATGGATATAAATTTGGCTAAAGAAATATTGGTTAAGTGAGGAGCCAGTTTAGTAAAGGAAGAGGTGGTTAATACTATATGCTATTAAACCATTTTTTTCAAGTGCATGTAATGTTTGTAGGAATTGACAATTGACCTTTTTAGAAGTCTCAGAATAAAATTATTCACATTTCCTAATCGTTGTGCACTTCATTAAAAATGACAAATCACAGCTTCATCTTAACAACAACAACAACAAAAACAAATTTTTGTTGACAAATTTGATAATAAGATTAAAAAAAAAACATGCACCTGTTTCAACTAGACAACGAATTAACCTGAAATATTTTTTATTACTTCTTTCTGGGCATAATTAATAATACTGAATTTGTGTAGGTAGCAGTACCATAACAGTTTATTTCAATTATATTATACCGATAGCTTTGTATTGGTGAATAGTATGTCAATGCACGGTGACCAGTGTTTCATGTGTAAAAAAGCTCAAGAAGAACTTCATGAAATATCACAAAGGTTGAACTGCTCACGAGACAGCCATTTCTACAACAACCACCATGCAACCTGTGACCTCTACACCAGAATTGCTCATAGTGCTCCCATTTTGCTACAGGTAGGTCACCATCATATTACAGCAAGATCACCATCATATTACAGCTAGGCCTAATTTGCATAAATTAGTCACTTATTTTAACTGTTTAACAGAGATCTCATAATTCATTCAACTTAGTACATATGGGTGCTCTGGGAGTATATTCCACAAACTGCTGGTCGAAATACATATATATTAATTACTTAATTAGCACAATCAGACAAATTGCAGCTTTTACACATATACGATAACATTTATGTCTTGTCTTATATTATAGCTAGACATAGCTATTTTCTGTTTGTATAAATGTATTATCAAATTCATTATTGTGGATCTGACTGTATTCACATTGTGTATTTCAATGAGCGGAACTATATAAATAGCCAGCAGCTGATCTTGTTTCACAGGCTAAACTTTTCAATTAATTTTAAATATCACTTATATCAGAGGTACATTACTTGGGGTTTGCAACGCGCATAGTACTGTATGGTCACATCATGCCAAGATCCAATTCAAGTCTCATCTCGTAGATAGCGAGACTGATGCTACGACTTTCTGACATGACATAGGCGGTTTGTAATAAAACAATAACACATGTATTACCACATTCATAGTGAAAAAATGGAATAAATCGAAAATGTACAGAAAATATAGTTATCGTAATCCGTCATATCGTGAACAGCTATTTTGATCCACCTGGACATCCAAACATCCTAGTTACCTTGGGCATGCCCATTCGAATTTTTCTGACTTGGAACGCTTATGCGAGAGCGAGACTGAAACGGGATCTTGGTATCATGTCACTGTAGTTGTAAACCCCAAGTAATGTACCTCTGCTTATATCTACTTTCATGCCTCCAATGTGCTCAACACTTGGGAGGTCTTTCCAATCTATTGTATGCTATTTGTTTTTTAATCAGCATTTTCCAATGTTCCGGGACTCAGATGCTATGTGTGAAGGAGAGGACGCTGCCCCACCCCAAGAAAAAGTAATCAGACATCGAGAGAAGTGGGAAGTATTATCCAAAGCATCTAGTCAACAGGTAATTTGTTTAAGTTGATGTCATGCATGAGTGAATTTCACTGCCCAATATGACCTGGATTAGATATGCCTAAGTTTGTGAGATTACCAACAATGGACCAGGCAGGAATTGGACTGTGGCAGACCTGGTTAATATGAACATTTTATTCGACACATAAATCAAAATCCAAACTATTTGATTTGCTTGTATTAGTGTAGGTCTACTCACACTTAATTTCTTTACGATGAATATATTTATAATCAGATACAGCAAGTGAGGATGAAATGACATCACAGCATGTAGTTTGAAATGCCTGCAAGATATAAACTAGCTTAAGGTAGAGATGCAGGTTGAGAGACTATATTTCTAATTGGCTCTAATTACTGTAATTACACGAGTAAAATATAATTTGTACACATCAAGTTATATATCATTTGAAAGAGTTTTATTTAAACTTTTGAGTTTTATGGTTTACAATAATGTACTATGATACCATATTAAGTGGTGTGGATTTTGGGTTAAAATCATGCATTTTAGGTGAAAGTGCACTTAAAACTATTTAACTTTTGAATGCCTACCCTGATTTTGATTTAAAAACACTTTTTCAAAACTTCTGTTTACCAGGAACATAATGGCTTATTTATTAGTGTTTCCACTTTTACCCGGCCTTTCATGAATAGACCATTTCCCGATCATTATGGGTTAAATCAAACAAAAAATAAGAACAAACAATGAGCATAGCATCCTAGTTGCATCAAAACATCATGTGAGATTCAACAAAACTACTTTTCGGGTGTTTCTCATGATGTATCTATGGGAGGAAAAGATGTAAAAAAACAAAACAAAACAAAAACATGGCATTGGTCTATACTCTGCTGTACTGTCTTCTTGCATACTTTGCGGTATCCTTGTTATAACCTCATATTATTTACTTGTTATATTGATTTTAAATTGTTGCCATAGATTTTTATTAGTCCCCGTTCGGACGCAGTCCGAAAACGGGGACTTATGTTTTGCCCTGTGTGCGTCCGTCCGTCCGTGCGTCCGTGATCACCTGTATCTCGAACATGCATGGACCGATTAAGTTCAAACTTCACTCATACATCACACATTATATGGGACATATGCACATGCATTTTTTCAGGATCTGATTAACGATAGCCGAATAGCGGCCATTTTAAGGCCGAAAATGCATCAAAACCGCACATTTTCACCATTCCGGACCCGG